AATAAAATAGTTTTTTCAAGTAGTTAATAGTATCTGAAGCCTACTGGTATGGATACTAGAAGACCAAGCTCAAAACATTTTGATTATCTTGAATAGATTATTTCAGTACAATTTGGAAAGAATGTTAAATTGTATGTACAGAGTCCTAATAAGGCAGTTTGTTTTCTGAGTGCTCTCGCAACATGTTAAAAAAATCAAAAAGATAAAAGAGAAACCTAAAGTACTCATACAATTTTGTGATGTACATTTTGGAAACATAGGGAACTGAGACTTCAAGAGTATTTCTAATGCAAGAAAGTATACAAATTAGCTGCACATCATGAAAATAATGAAGTAGAGAGATTAATTTTTCATCCCAGACACACCTCACTGAGTAAGACAAATTCCTGCATGTACAACATTGAATGTAATCTGTTTTTTCAGCTATTTATAGTTAGGAAAAAAGTGCAGATTCAGGTGTAGACTAGAGTTTGGCCTTTTCCCAGGCTTCTGTGAAGACTGTTAGCAAATGAAAAGGTTAAAAGTTCATTAAGCACTTAGTAAAACAGTTTCGTAATCAAAAAATCATATAACATACTTAAACCAAGCCACTGAATAGTTTGGATGGTAAAATAGTATATCTGGAGTTTGTATGAATGGCTACACCAAAAGTACACACACTTTACATTTCAGTAGTAATAAAGAACCTGTAATAACTTGATTCTTCATTTACTACATTATCGCAAGACAAATATAGAGTCTGAGCTTTTATGTATAGACTCTGTTTTCTTCCACTGTGGTACACTGGGGTACTTTCCGTTTCTTTTTTTTTTCAGATATTCTGATTCTTACAGCCTCATATTTAGACAATGGTCTAATAGGACATGTATTTCTGATGCCACCGCCAGCATATCCATCTATTAAATTGTATGAGTTGTTATTTTGCATTAATGAAATAGTATACAGTGGCATCACTAAAGGTCCGAGTAAGGAATTTCAGGAGTGCAAATTCTCATTTACACTGCAGTAACTTCGAGATCAGTGCTCTGATATCTTGAGGCTTAGTCATGGTTCCTTTATTTTGCCTTTCACAGAAGTATATTTTCTTTAGAGTGTTGGGGTGGGCAAAGGACATACTACATTTTTTTCAAGGATTAGTGAGTGAAAAGACATCAATCAGGTATCTGAGATTCACCGTGCTTCACTAGAAAATGCGAAACCTACTTGGAGAAAGCTTCTATATAGTTAAACATGAGGTTCAAATATTTGAGGAGGTAAGCATAACTATAAATCACAATCTGATAGATTCAAAGCCAATTAATTTTTCATATTCTATTTCTTGCTTAAAACATCATGGAAAACAACTTTTTTTTGCATGTGGTTGTTACTTGCAGTGGCACTAAAGTGGTTTCAGTCAATGTGCTGAAAAATTTTTTTTTCTGAAAAATAGCATCTGTAATCACACATTGACTAGCTGCAGTACAAAATGTGTTTGTGTTGTGTGTTGTACTTTTCTTTCTCTAATTTAATAGGAAATTAAGGCAATGAATTCTGTCCCACAATCTAACTTAATAGAGTAAATAATGATACTTGATACTTCAAAAGAGGGGCTGTCTTCATGCATTAGTTTCAAGATCACTCCTTGATGCAATTAGGACTGATTTTGTGCATAGAGACAATCAGTTTCAATAGGGGCATGAATTACAAAGTTGTGCTTATACACTGATATTCTTGCTCCACTAAAGCTTACTGACCTTTAGTGAACTTTATAACCTGAAATCCCTTGAGTGAAGTCTTATATAAAATGTAACTATTTTTCCATATCTAAAGTTTACTTTAAAAATGTGAGTACATGTTCTTCTTCCTAAACCCCTTCACTCTTTCATCAAATGTGCTTGCTTTAAATTCCTTGCTTTTGCCACTGTATAAACTAGGTGGATTTGAACACTTACAGGAAGAATCTAAAGCATTTGGTTGTTATTAGGGCAGAGATAGCTGACTCACACATGCAAAAAATTAAAGAAACTTACAAATGTTCAAGTGATTTTTGTTTGTTTTGGGGCCATACAGCACCAAACCACATCCTGTAGTACAATGGATCTTTTCGCTTTTTATTTTTATTGTGCAGTATCATTTCAGGTTAGTAAAAAAAACAAGGACAATACTCTTATTCTCTGTTCCTCACATTTTATTATTTTTATTTAAATATAACATATTATACATTATTGCTCAGTGATTTTTGTTTCTCTTTTCTTTTTTAAATCTATCCCCATTTTCCTTTTGCTTAGGAGTCTGTTATGTTGAGAATGACAGAAAACAGAGCTTATGGTTGACGATCTATGATACGCTACATAGAGTGTCTGCAGTTCACTCCCACTACAGTGGGTATTAACAGTATACCAAACACACAGGAATCATTGACTCCTTCAAGGTTTTTTTTTTATTTTGGTTAACTTTCAGAAACCACTATTCACGTCACAAATGGCTCTTGACTCACTTTGGAAAAGTGATATTTCCTGATTTTGGCCTCTGAGCAGCATGGTGTTTTGAGTACTATGATAATATTTATGCATCATCCCCTCTGATAAAGTCACTTAAGAGAATTTCATTTGTACCCTAAATGTTCTTTAAGTGATCATCCAATATTGCATTTGTCCAACCTCACATTGAATATTCACTGTGGGTGGTCCATTATGTCTTGTCAGTTTTAATTATCGATTATAAATTTAAACAACAGAAACTCATTTTTATCATGGTAGTTAAGTTTTGCCATAACCTGCAATTACATTTAAAATCTGAAATTCTTATTTCCCTTTCTAGAAAAATCTCATTTGTGAAGAAGAAAGCTGGAGATAAAGTACCATGAAATACAATGCCAGCTATCAGCTAAAATGTTGTCTCCCAGTGAATTCCTGGTTTTAAAACAGTTGCCTTTACTTAAGGACAGGAAATACCATCTGGCCATTTTGTATTTTATGGGAAAGCTATTATTTTTTGCCTTTTTTTTAAAAGCAGCGAATATTTAAATAACAGATTAGGATTGAAGTGCTGGTTAAACATTGACTTAAATAAGTTATAGAAGATTCCAACACCACCAGCCTTTATAGAGGTTAAACATTCTCAAGAAGACACATTAAGCAAGGATCTCCTTTGTACCAAAATACAGTTTCCAAACAATAAAAATAAAATCAACTTTTTCACAACAAGAAATATTGAAGATAACACTGCAGCATCAATATAATCCCATAGTTACTTAAAGTATTTAGGACAAAATAATATTACACTACTTTTGTTTCTTACTAAAGACACTGCAAAGGCTTATTTATTTAGTGGAATACAATGTTAAGACAGTGGTACAAATGGATGTACTGTTTTCTATTTATCTGCTCTAACAAAATGAATCTCAATATGGTTACATTGGTGAACTATCCAGAGCCCTCTAAAATTATGGAGTAAAGCAAAACATAAAACAAAACTTATGTAGCTTTAATTGAACTGACTTCATATTATGCTTAACTTTATTATACTGCAGTTGCTCAAGTTAAGCCATGGGACTAGTAACACTTCATAAAAATGTGCTGGATATTATGTATTTTGAGCCTTCAGTTACTATGATGGATATGAAAGGCATGCTAAAGTTGGATACCAGCACAGCTTTTTGGTTGGATCTCATTTATAATACACATGTGAGTAATAATCTCTGATAAAGGCATGAACATGATTTTGGATCTCCTGTCCCTCAGTCCTTACTTAGGTACTGCTCCCACCACATGCACGTGGGATTCTACAACCTGGTAACAAGGACAAATGTGCTCAATGGGTGTATTAATTGAATAAGGAGTGCAGGGCTGTGTTGCCGCCTTACTTATCTTCCAGAGGCCAAGTTTTACACTTGAGAATTGCACACTGTTTAATTTTAACATTTGCAATCTCAGTGACTTTAACAGGGCTGTCCACATCTAGGTTCCAGCCCAATACTTGCTGTAGAATATCGCACTGATTGCAATGCATTTGATCTTAGTTCCAAATTGAAATCAAAGTCAGAAGAATCTGCACAAAGATGCATTGATACCCAAGGACGGATGTGGCCCCTTCTCTCAACTTCAAAATAGCAGAAAGACCCTTTGAACAAAGTATTTCTTGAAATTTGTTCTTCAGTGTTGGTAAGTAAAAAAATTTCTCCAACATAAAGACATCCAATACCATAAATCCAAGCACTGCTTGTTTGGTCTTTTTGCCTAAGTGCAAGACAGTTTAGATAAAAAATGGATTATACGCACTAACTTCTGCCTTTAAAGCCTTGTCTAATACCTATTCTCAGAATATGTCCGAGATTTTGACATTTTAACCTATCAAACTTTGTGTGAAGTACTGAGAAAAAGGGCAAATAACGAAGAAGAAAAGGAGGAAAACATTTCAAATCAAAAAGATATTTAACATCCTATTAAATAAATAACTTAGAGAGAAAGAAGAAGAAATGAATTTAGAACATACAAGCAAACCATACTATTCATTTTGTTAGAACAGTTTTACACTACTTTGCTTATATTCCTTAATCCTATCCATTCTTCCACAAGGCTTCTCCAGAAATTCCATTATTTGTGCATATGACCCAAGTGCTTCCAGTAAATGCTTGCATATCTAACTGTTCATCGGATCATTAGGCTTGAACAAGCAATTAAGGTCTTTGATATGAGTTAGTATTCCATAAATAACTTTCCCCATGAAGATCATTCAACAGATTGTTCTGTTGCAGAGACAAAAAAAAATTGTTCACACTGGCAGTAACTTCCATCCCATTTGATCCAGCTTGTATCTTGATTATAAGATATGACAACAAACTAAATAAAAGTATTTCATGTGCCAGCAACGAGTACAAAACCTTCAAAGGCTTCCCCACTCTCTTTTCAAACAAGCAGATGTCTGCACTATTTCTTTGCATTTAGTTTTCAAGAAGATTACCACATATTCTTGACACAAAAGCCTTTGGTTCAGTTGCATCAATAAAACAGTTCCTTCATCTATGACATTACTACCATTGGAAGAAAGTGAGCTGAAGTGTTTTTCCTTCTTGTTTTCTGTCCTCTCTTTGTGGCTCCCCTTCCATTCAGGGCCACAAACATTTGCCTTCCATTGTGCTTCCAATTTAAGGATGCATATGTGTTATAACCATTTTCTTCTATTCTTTCCTTCAATTTGCAATCACTGTTAAACTCCTTCTGTTAAAAGAAGAAAACAAATACACAAATTCAGAATAAACATGTTCTTTCAGAGCTGCAGCATACTGAAGGTAAATTGTTTCTAAAAAGGTTTTGGAAGATTTCAGTGTTCTGTATGTGACACCCTTTTAGGATTCTACAGTGCATTTAATGAGAAGTTTCACTGTGTCCACAGCATTTAAAGCAACATCAGTTAAACTGCAAAAAGTGAAACCAACAAAATAATCAATTATTCAGTGCATAATTATAGCAGTGAAATGATACAATTCACTCATAGCTGAAATTAAACTTCTCTGTGTTGGAATATGGCAGCAATATTAAATCAAATTCTCAGTCATAAACTCAAAGTATGAGGTAGCTATCTTCAAATCATTCATCATATTTCAGTTCTAACAAATACAATCCTTAAGTATCTTGAATGAGATTATTGATACCATATGTTAAACAAATATGCATGGCATAGGCCTACTTCTTATTTAAAGTAAGATCCTCTATACCACAGTGGCCTTTTTTGGGCTTTTTTGGATAGGTAAAAGTCACTGTTACACTGCTGCTACAAATGATGTGAGGCCTGTCTACTTTGCTGACCTGAAGAGGGACTTAGCCTAAAAAAGAATCACATATGATCCTGTATCTTATTGACTAAATAAACTTGAAAGCAACATTGTGTATGGTACTAGGGATTAAGGTTTTCTGTTTTTAAAGGAGAACGGGTTGTCAGTTTGTTAGAAAGAATAAAAAATACAAGCATG